CCCAAATTCATCATGAATTCATCACTTCGTGTTATGGAGCCGCAAGAGTGAGAGCAGCAGGGGTCAAACTGACAATTAAAAATGTCCTTCCTCGTTTAAAGCCCTCTTGTGAAATGCAACAGATTGTAGTAATGTAACTGTGAAAGCAAGCTGAATAATTAATTTGATGCACCAGTTTGAGCAGCTTTTTTTTGTTTTTTACAGGTAATCTTGTCTCTGGATGCTTTGCGCTTGTTGTTGCCTCCTGATTGTGTGGCGACTAAATTCGCCTCCTAGGAATAAATAACATTTATTATTGTCAGAATCATCATCAGTATTTATGACTTGTCACTGTGCTTGTAAACAAATAGAAAGATTTTCTTTTCTTTTTAACCTCAGAAGCGCACAATATCACACATTTTGCTAACAGAGGCATCACCTGAAGTTACTACAAAAGTGATATAACACTATGTTTTTACATTATAACTGGAATCTGATGTGGAATACGATGTGAAATAAAGAAGATATTTATTTGCCTGCTATGATATTGCTATTGTCATGTACTGGTAGAGGCTGTAAGTACATCATTGTACATGCTTCACCCTACATTTGCTTTGTAGAGGTAAAATACAGATGAGTTTTTGAGAAATGCCAAAAATAATGGCTCTGTTGAACAGATTAATTGTTTTAATGGAATGACTCAATAGAGAAAATGTCTTTACAGGTTGGCTGATTTTTGCAGTGTATCCTTTTAACTTTTTGCACATTAGCCAATACTAATTAATTAATAGCCAGTGGCAGTCCTTTCACCATTTGTGCCCCATTAAAATACTGGCTTGTAAGACTAATTTTACAATATTGACTAATTATGCCAGGAATGACAGATATCCTCTTCCTCTGAAGGTGAAAATTAACAATAGCAGCAAAGAAAACATATTTTTACAACAGTATGTTGTTATATTGGCTCTGTTCTCCCTTACTTAAACAGGAACACACGCACACACAAAGCCATAAACACAAACAAACACATATAAACTTACATCTTTTTTGTGTTAAACCCTCATATTTAAGTTATTCTTTTATTTCAATTAGTTTGCTGTCTTAAGCTGCAGCTCAAACACTTAATCTTCTCTATTTTATGTGTTATTTTGGCAGTATTATGAAATGCCATGACAGCATAATCTGACATGTCAGATTTAAATAATAATAGGATTAAACTCCTGGTATCCAAGAATGTGCCAGCAGTAAAACTATGAATCACTCATTAAAAAAAGAAACACAACTGTCTCCATTTATGGACCTGTCCAAAACCAAATATTAGCCTCCTGCAGCAGTCTCAAACACCAAATGCACTAAGGCAACCAACATATTCTAACAATATTGATATATGTATGTGTGTATGGGCGTGTTTGGCCCATAGTGCTAGGCCAGTGTTTAATGTCTGGAGCCATTTTACCAGCTCTGATATATAAACAGCTTACAGCAACAAAGTTGTATGAATTTTTATGTCTGTGTATGTCTACTAGGGGATTATACAAAATGGAATAAGGCCAGTCTCCCTCCTGTCACTATTAACAAACACAGTCACCCTTCAGAAATTTCCCCTGTTATCATCTTGCATGCTTTAGTCATTGGATGTTAATATGAGGGACACCAAGAAAATGAATGAATGAAAGGTATACTGGTATTCTTCGGCAGGCATCTGTCACATAATT